CTACCAGCAGCAATAAAGAACACATGCGTAATATATAGGGACAACTGAAAACAAGTACACTGGTAGAATTTAACCCTGTTACAACTTGCACACTGTATAAAAAAAGTCCTGAAAGAAAGATCATAAAATTCTTACTCTTTTGAGCACAGAATACTTTATTACATGGCTTCTGGTATTGAGAGTCTCAGAGATCAAGGGAGTAAGCACATTATCACACTATTCTTAAGAGTACACTCAATATTTATGAGGATCTTAACTCCATGTAATGAAGGCTATTTTCAAAGACTAGGATGACTTAGATGTTTTGGATATAAAATTAATCAACATGCATGAAAGAGGATCTCAGAGTCAAACAGGAAAATCTGCATGTAATAACAAAGATAGTTATAATCTGGCAAACTATGTCACAAGAAAGAAAAATACTGTGACTAAACATAATAAGATTTTGCTTGAAATATAAAATTCTCTGGATCAAATCCTGCTAATTCACATAAGAATTGCCAAACAGGTCAGAGCTGACTGTGCAAAACCGGCCACCAGGTAGGAGGAAAACCATCGAGGAGAACTAGGTCATACTATGTGGTCCTTGGAATCGCGCTGTGGCCCCTTTCCTATTCCACGTTTCGGAGGCATGAGTTTGTCCTCACATGCAGCGTGGTGCTCTCACGTTTTGAGCCAATACCACCTATTTCTCCAGGAAACCCTTGTTGCCCAGGGACAACCTTATTGCACAGGGGCAACATGTTTGCACAAGGTGGGAAACACATTTGCACGGGATTTGCCTGCACCACGATGATAACTGTCTCACGTGAGCTAAGGATGCTGCTGACTAGAATACATTTTGTCTGTATTTTCTTCCGATGTTTTCCAAAATTGCCCCTCCTTGCTAGGTCCTAGGTCATAGTAGATTTGACATTAGCACAAAAAGAGGTAAAAAATGAAGAGCTCGGCCCTGCCTCTTCATGGTTTCCTCCCTCAAACTATAAGCACAGAGCACAGGCTTGTTACAATTGGGGTTCTCTTTATAGCATTACCTATTTTAGCTCTTAAATTGCATGAAGATCATTCAGTATTAAAATATTACTATCAAAAATGTGAACTCAGAAGTAATAAAATTCAGCTTTTGCTTAACTCTTAAATGTCTTTACGCTTACCAATTAGTACTGAACCTTTCCTAACCCTTCAGTTACAGCTTGTGCTACATACTTTTAAACTTGACTTTCAACTTCCAGCAACCATTTGCATTAGGTATCTTCAAAGAATGGTATTTGAAACTATGTGTTGTAATGAGAGGCTAATTAACACAAATCGGTTTATTAGCAAGTTAGAGACATTACAAGAAAAAAAAAAAAAAAATCAGCAAGCCAAAAGCTCTCACTTATTTTTTTGTGACAGATACAGAACCCCAAGGACAGACCTACACCAGCCCAGGCTCTGCACTTTGCAACTCCGTTTCCCGTTCCATAGTGGGATGTAAATCTCATTTACTTTGCTTGGTAGGTCTCCAGCTTAATTAAATCATTACCTTTAAATTAAAGGCACTACAGAAATGCTAGGAAGTAGAGCCTGAATTAGAAGGTGGAGGTGACACCCTAATGAAGCAAGACTGTTTTCACTGCCAACAGCGGGCACAGTAAAAGGTCATCCACAGCATAATTTGGAAACCACATTCCAAGATGACTTCTCCCAAAATTTTAAGGAGGAGGAGATGCCCTGACATCACTAGACGGCTGGAATGCTGTCTTGTAGTTTCACAGATGATCTATAATATGTTCATTAGTTTTCTCACTTCCTTAGTCTTTCTGTTCCTCGTAGCAGCAAAATATCACAGCTTTTGAAAGAATGTTTTTTCCACAGGTGACTGTTTTCAGTATGATCAAAGACCCATTAAGAAAATTGCAGAGGATCATTTTCCTCTGAGACAGTCACAGGTTTTCAACCTTTTATAGGAGAGCAACAGCAGAGGAGCTCCAGCCGTAAGTCTAGCACAGCTTCCCTCAAATATCATTATGTTCTGACATTCCCCATACAAACTGGGAACTTCCAGCACTGGTAAATATAAAGACACTCCTGAAAGATTCCCTATTACTGCACAGGGTTTTTCATTTTGAAACTATTGGAAAAAATATTCTTAAACTGCAGAAAACAGGCACCTCTGCCTCCTTGGCAGAAGCCTGGCTCCATTTTGGACTCACAAGAGAGTTGGAACAGGCTCAGGTTGGAAGCTGGATATGCCCCATATATCAGTCACACTGAAATTCTATCATGCAACGTCCCAAATACTGGAAAACACATCTCATTCTAAGCTCATTCCATCTGTACTGGGAAGTCATTGGAACCAACGCTAGGGAAAGAGGCAGCTTTGTCATCTGCTGTACCCGAGGAAGGTGACCCGGGAATGACACGTTCCTTACCACCTCCTTGTATTCCGAGGTGGGAGTGTAAGCATTAAGAAAAATGCTTCTGCTGTTTGGAAAATCCTCTAGCAATGACGAAAAAGACAGTTTATAGGAGAGGTCTCCTAAAGTTTTCCTTCTCTAATTTAAGATCTTTTAGCATTGAGAGTATTATCTAACTTCTGCGAAAATTTTCTGTGAAAAGGCTCGGGGATTACATTTGCAACAAAGAACTCCATCTATCATCTTTCCTATTGACTAAGTACAACTTTGCTTTAAAAATACACATGAATGACCAGGAAAGCCAAAATGGTTGCAGGAAGTTTTAAAAGTTCATCTGATGGAAAGTATACATGTAGTATAGCACCCATACAACTATGTTGTCTGTTTGCTTATGTCTGCCAGCTGCCTGCTAATCCCCTCTGAGACCACTGCCTCACTTTGACTAAATTTGGTAGCATGAAGAGCTCCCAAAGCTCCCAACACTTTCATTTATCAAAAAAAAAAAAAAAAAAAAAAGTAGAGTAGAGAGATTCTCATAGGGCAACCAAAGAAAGGTTAATGACAAAGGTCAATTTTAATATGGTATCAAAGAACTCACACGAGGGTTCACCTTACAGACACGTATCCTTAGGAACCAATTCCCATATGCTCCCACTCTTCCTTGAACACTACTTTTAAGTAGCAGAAGAGCTGGGAAACCAAGAATTAACCGCAGTTCTCGCAACAGTCCGTTGGCACAGGTAAATCACAACACTGGACTCTACTTCCCTCGCCATAACGCGGCTAATGTTAAACTCCCTTATTATGTTGCTGCAATAATTCACATTTGCACATTACTTTGAAGGTCTGAAGAACTATATGCTCTAATTATTACCAGTCTTGAGACTGGAACTGAATATTCAAATGCCAGCCTGATTCAAACATAAGTGCACATCACATAAGCATGCACTGAAACACAAAGTGTCAGAGTAAAGATTTCTTTTAAAGCACTCTTTGTAGAAATCAGGTTTGAGTCCAAGAGCCACCTCATCTTTGTCACAGCTCTTTTATCAGACTGGATTTCAATTATTCCATGTTTTAGACTTGTACTTTATTACACATCAGGTTGAAAATTGACAGAACACAATATGGTATCGTGCAAAACTCAGGTGATATGTCTCTTTGCTAAAACTATTAAGAGCAAGGGGTAAATGAGAGAATGAATTTTTGTTCATTTTTGTTCCCAGATTCCTACTTCAGGGGTCAGGAGTAAACTATGATCTCCTCGGTCTTTGTGCCTTGGGGCATCCCAGCACAGCACACTTTGCACCAAATGAGTACTCAATGCCTCCCAAGACTTGGCCTTTACACTTCCTTAAAGAGCAAGCAACTGTACTGGCTGAATTTTCTGTCTAATCCTCCCCACATCCCTGTCCCAAGCCAAAGCCAAACCAACCTGGCCAAGTTATTCTGACTAGTGACTAGAATTGCATCTCTTACGCATTTATTATTTTAATATAGTATAAATATAAACTAATGTTTTAATGTAGTATAAACATATACGGTGATTTAACATCTAGAGATTAAAACAGCCTTATGCATAGCACAAAATTTATACATGCACAAAGTCCATTTGCAAATTCAGAACACAGAATTATCGGTATTACCAGACACAGGATACATATTATTTTTAATTACACAAGCTGAATATCAGCAAGCCTACTCTGTTCCTAATTAGCAAGAGTCCAACAATCGTTTCCCTCCCCTCAGTTTCTGCCTGACAAGGACATCAGTGGAGTCCTCTTGAGGGGGGTATTCGAGTGTGCGTTCGCTGCAAACCCACACACAGATGCTCTGCAGCGGCGCTAAGTGCCAAGGTGCAAGTGCCTCTGATGAATAGTGTATGGGGTCAAGACGTTTATTTTAGGGGGAAAAAAGAGAGAGAAAGAAAAAAAGAGAGAGAGAGAGAGAGAAAAGGGGGGAAAAAAAGAGAAAAAGAGAGAGGAAAGAAAAAAAGAGGAAAAAAAGAAAAAAGAGAGAAAAAAGAGAGAAAAAAAGAGAAAAAAAGAGAAAAATGAGACAGAGAAAAGAAAAAGAGAAAAGAAAAAGAGAAAAGAAAAAGAGAAAAGAAAAAGAGAAAAGAAAAAGAGAAAANAGAGAAAAGAAAAAGAGAAAAGAAAAAGAGAAAAGAAAAAGAGAAAAGAAAAAGAGAAAAGAAAAAGAGAAAAAAGAGAGGGGAAAGAAAGAAGAGATAAAAAGGTGCTTCGCGAGGAGCTCAGGGCTGCCTTGCTGCCGCCCCGCAGCGGCCCGGGAGCCCCCGGCGCATCCCGGCTCCGGGGCCGCTGCCCCCGCCGGCGCCGAGCGAGGCGCTCCCGTTCGGCCCCGCCTGCACCTGCCACCGCCGCCCGTTTGCACCGTTCCCGAGACGGCACCGCTCCCCGGTGCGCCCGCGACCCCACGCGGAGCACTGAGAGTAATATATATACACACACGGGCACATATATATATATATATCTACTTATATATTTTTTTTCCCTCACAACCCAGCCTAGAAAAACAAAGAGCAGCGCTCTGCTGGCCGATGAGGTGCGGAAGCGGCCCGCGGGCGCGCGCATGCCTCACCTGCCACCGTGTACCGGTCCAAGTAGTTGAGCACGTTGCCCACGCTGAGGATGCCCGCGGCCGCCACGCGGGCCCGGCCCAGGCTCGGCGCCTTGTGGCGGGCGGGCGGGCGCGCGGCGCTCTTGGCGGCCGCCGGCGGGTTCATGCGGCCCGACAGGGTCTGCACCTCGCCCTCGGCGCCGCGGCCGCAGCAGCCCCGCTCGCCCTCGTCCTCCTCCTCCTCGTCGGCGGTTCGCAGGCGGCCGCCGCAGCCGGGGCTGCCGCCGGAGGAGCCGTCGCTTTCCAGGCACATCATGGGCGGCGCACTGGAGCCCGCGCGCGGACTCGTGGCGGTGCTGGCGGCGGCGGCGGAGCCCGCTCAGCGCCGCAGCCCCGCGCCGCCCGCCCGCGGCACCGGCCG